AGAGAGAGAAACATCGACGTGAAGGGACACATCGAGTGGCTGCCACCCGCACGACCAACCAGGGCCGGGGACAAACTGCAACCGAAGTACGTGCCCTTAGCGGGAACCGAACCCGGGTCTCTCCGGACCGCAGGCCGATGCTCTAACCGCTGAGCCAAACTGGCCAGGGCTCTCTCTTTGTTTCTTGGTGAGTCTAGCTAAGAGTCAATTTTGTTTATCTTTTCAAAGAACCAGCTCTTCATTTCATTGATGCTTTGAATTGCTTTTTGATCTCTATGTTGTTTATTTCTGCTCTGATCTTTACTATTGCTTTCCTTCTGCTTGCTCTGGGTTTTTATTTTTGTTTGCCTTCTGGTTCTTTAAGTTGTGAGGTCAGATAATCAATTAGAAATTTTTCTTGTTTCTTGATGTAGGCCTGTAGTGCTATGAACTTACCTCTCAGGACTGCTTTCATAGTGTCCCATAGATTTTGTGTGGCTGTGTGTTTATTTTCATTGGTTTCCAGGAAGTTTTTAATTTCTTCATTGATCTCCTTGGTAACCCATTCATTATTTAATAACATGCTATTTAGTCTCCATGTATTCATATGTCTTTGCATGTTCTTATTGTAATTGATTTCTAGTTTCATGCCATTGTGATGAAACTTTATATGCTTGATATATGTTTGACATAATTTCAATCTTCTTATACTTGTAGAGACTTATTTTGTGTCCTAACATGTGGTCTATCTTTGAGAATGTCCCATGTTCACTTGAGAAGAATGTGAATTCTGCAGTTTTGGGTGTAATTCTCTGTAGATATCTACTAAATCCATTTGGTCTAGTGCTTCATTTAGAGTCTCTGTTTTCATGTTAATTATTTGTCTAGAGCAGTGGTTCTCAACCTTCATAATGCCGCGACCCTTTAGTACAGTTCCTCATGTTGTGGTGACCCCTAACCATAAAATTATTTTTGTTGCTACTTCATAACTGTAATTTTGCTACTGTTATGAATTTCCATAAAAAATATGTGTTTTTCGATGGTCTTAGGTGACCCCTGTGAAAGTGTCATTCGACCCCCAAAGGGATTGTGACCCACAGGTTGAGAACTGCTGGTTTAAAGGATCTATCCATTGATGTCAGTGGGGTGTTGAAGTCCCCTGCTATGATTGTATTGCTGTTGATTTCTCCTTTGAAGTCCTCCAGAAGTTTTAAAATATATTTTGGTGCTCCTATATTGGGTGCATATGTTTACCGAGATTATATCTTCCTGTTGGATAGATCTCTTCAATATTATGTAGTGGCTATCTTTGTCTATAGTTATGGCCTTCATTTTGAAATCTATTTTATCAGATATGAGTATTGCTACCCCAGCTTTTTTTTCCTTTCTGTTTGCTTGGAAGATTTTTTTCCCATCCTTTCACTTTCAACCTATGTGAGTCTTGTTGTGAGATGGGTCTCTTGTAAACAACATATATATGAGCCATGCTTTCTTATCCAGTCAGCTACTCTGTGTCTTTTGATCAGAGTTTTCATTTACATTTAAGATTATTATTGATGTGTACTTATTTATTGCCATTTTTGTTTATTGTGGTTATATTTTTCTTCATATTTCTTCTGCTAATTACAGCAGTCCTTTTAACATTTCTTGCAGTGCTGGTTCGGTGGTAATATATTCCTTTAGCCTTTTTTTGTCTGGGAAACTCTGTATTTCACTTTCTATTTTGAATGATAGCCTTGCTGGATTCAGATCCTAGCAGTCTTGGATTCAGATCCATATTTTTCATGACCTTGATGACTTCATGACATTTTCTTCTGGCCTGCAGTGTTTCTGTGAGAAATCAGCTGAGAGCCTTGTGGGGGTTCCTTTGTAGGTAACCTGTTGCTTATCTCTTACTGCCTTTAGGATTCTCTCTTTGTCTTTAATTTTTGGCATTTAAATTATTAAGTGTCTTTGTGTGTGCCTGTTTGGGTTCTTCTTACTTGGGGCTCTCAGTGGTTCTTGAACTCAAATGCCTTTTTCCTTCACCCAGTTAGGGAAGTTTTCTGTCACTATTTCTTTAAGTATATTCTCTAACCCTTGCTCATTTTCTTTTTCTTCTGGCACTTCTATGATGCCGATGTTGTTACATTTTCAGTTGTCTCATAGTTATCTTAAGCTGTCTTGTTGTTTTTTAATTGTTTTTTTCTTCTTGGTTTTCTGATTGGTTGGTTTTTTTCTACCCTGTCTTCTAATTCACTGATCTGGTCCTCAGCTTCCTCTCCTCTGCTGGTTATTCCTTCCAATGTGTTCTTTATTTCTACTATGTCATTCTTCATTTCCACTTGGTTGCTTTTCAATGTTTCTATATCTTTACTCATGCTGTTGAGCTCTTTACTCATGCTGTTGACCTTTCTCATTATCATCACACTGAACTCTACCTCTGATAACTTGCTTAACTGCATTTCATTTATCTTATCTTCAGTAGAGTTCTCTTGTTCTTTCATTTGGGATTTGTTTCTTTGTTTCACCATTTTGGGTATCTCAGTGGGTCTTTGAGCCTGCCAAATTTACCCTGTTGGTGTTGGTGTTCTGCTGTTTGTGGCTCCCTTTACTGGGTTTGGATGAGTGTGGGAGGCCCATGTTAAACACCACTGTCAAGTCTTACTTTCTTGGGTAGATTTGCAAGCCCAGGAAAGGTTCAGTTATTCTCTACCTTTTTTTTTTTTTCATCCTAACCTGAGGACATTTTTCCATTTTTTGTACAGATAGAGTGGGAGGGAGAGAGAGGAACAGAGAGAGAGAAACATCAATGTGAAAGGGACACATCGAGTGGCTGCCACCCGCACGACCAACCAGGGCCGGGGACAAACTGCAACCGAGGTACATGCCCTTAGCAGGAACCGAACCCGGGTCTCTCCGGACCGCAGGCCAACGCTCTAACCGCTGAGCCAAACCGGCCAGGGCTATTCTCTACCTTTTTGCCTGGAGGCTATTCATCTCAGTTACTCATGAGCCTTAGGTTGTAGCCCACAACTGAATATAAAACTCCCTCAGGTGTTTAGGGTAAGGAGATTTTCAGAGGGTGGGGCAGATGCTTGCTGGCTGTTAATGAACCTCAATTTGCATTTATCTGGCCTGGCTGGGTGGTATTAAATTTCTGAGGGAGGGGCTGTTGCTTCTCCCTGGGGTTCTGGGAAGGGGCTATTTGAGTAAGAAGGCTACTGGCCTGTGATGGAGTGATTCCGCAAAACACTTCCATTGCCTTCTCCCCTCTCCAAGCTCCTGAGTCTCTACAAAGTTCCAGTCCAGTCCACCTTCCCTCTGCCAGAGCCCAAAGTGAGTGACTGTGGCTAATTTAGTGCTCTGACCTGGCCCTCTGTGCTGGAGCCGGCATGGGGTTTTAACCTGGAAGGAGCTGCTCACAGCCTAAAACAGCGGCTGTCCATAGGCTCCCAGCCCGCCCTCTCCCACCTCCACAGTTCCTACCAGTCTCGATTTACTGTCCTCTTTCCTGTCCCTGGTTATATGGGTCCTCTCGGCTGCTTTTTCCTGATGATTTGTCTTTATTTTAGTTGTAATCCCAGTTTGGTCCTGGCAGGTGCTCTGCATAGCTTCCATTCACTCTGCTGTCATTTTGGAATCCGATACTTTTCTATTTATCATCAGATAGAGTGGGAGAGAGAGAGAGAGACAGAGAGAAACACCGATGTGATAGAGTCACATTGACTGGTTGCCTGTTGTACAACCTGACTAGGACCAGGGATGAACCACAACTGAGGTATGTGCCTTTGACCAGAATTGAAGCCTCGACTCATTGGTCCAAGGGCCGATGTTCTAACCACTGAGCCAAAGTGGCCAGAGCTCTTCTATTTTTAATGTTCTGTTTTCTGTATGTACCAGTTTATTTATCCATTCACCTACTCTTGGTTGTTTCCAAGTTTGGGTAATTATGAATACATTTGCTGTAAACATCCATGTATAGGTTTTTGTGGGAACTTATGTTTTCAACTTCTTTGGATAAATACCAAGGAGCTTGATTGCTGGATAATATGGTAAGAGTATGTTTAGTTTTGTAAGACATCACAAAACTGTCTTCTAAGTGGCTTTATCATTTTGCATTTCCACCAGCAATGGATGACAGTTCCTGTTGCCTCATATCCTTGCCAGCATTTTATGTTAGTGTTCTGGGCATTCTAATTGATGTGTAGTACTATTGCGTTGTGTTTTAATTCACATTTCCCTCATGACTTATGACATTTAACATCTTTTCATGTGCATATTTGCTATCTGTAAATCTTTGATGAGGTTTCCATTAAAGTATTTGGTCCATTTTTTTTTTCTAATTCTCATCCTGAGGACATTTTTTTTTTTTTTTTTAAGATATTTTGTTCAGATAGAGTGGGAAGCAGAGAGAGAGAGAGAGAGAAACATTGACGTGAAAGGGACACATCCAGTGGTTGCCACCCACACAACCCAACCAGGGCCGGGGACAAACTGCAACCAAGGTATGTGCCCTTAGTGGGAACCGAACCTGGGTCTCTGTGGACCTCAGGCCAAAGCTCTAACTGCTGAGCCAAACTGGCCAGGGCTGTTTGATCCATTTTTAATTGGGTTATTTGTTTTTTAATTTTAAAAAAGATTTTTAAAAAATTTATTTTTAGAGAGTAAGGAAGGGAAAGAAATATCAATGTAGAAGTGAAACATTGATTGGCTGCTTCCTGCATGCCCACTACCAAGGAGATTGAGCTCACAACCTGGGCATGTGCTCTGACCAGGAATAGAACTCACAAACTTTTGGTGCATATGACGATGCCCTGCCAACTGAGCCACACTGGCCATGATGGGTTATTTGTTTCTTTTTGTCAAATTTTATGGGTTCTTTATATTATAGATAATGGTTCTTTATCAGACGTGCCTTTTGCAAATATTTTTCTCAGTCTGTGGCTTGTCTTTCCATCGTTTCTGTAGAATCCCACTCTGTTAAAAACACAGTTATGTGATTTCATTTACCTTTTCTTATTTTTCTCTCCCATCTTTAGGACCCAACTTCGCCCAGTCCCAAGCCAGCCAAAAGTCAGACAAAAAACCCCAAGGCAAGAGGTAAGCAAGCCAGCAGGAAATGGGACTGTGCTGCAGTTATGACAGGGCAGAAGCAGAGAGTGTAAGGGGCCTGCAGATAACTGGAACTTACTTTCTCAGATCCTGAGAAAATAGGCAGGACTCATGCTAGTGTCATTGAAGAAGCTGTAGCCTCCTCATTTCTGTATATTGAATTATAAAATCTTAGGAATGAATGTTTAAAATTTGTTGCCAAGAAGGATGACTTCCTGGGGAAGGCAGGCTCTGAAGAGAACCATAAAGAGAAGATGATGTGGGTGGGGAAGAGGGTAAAATTATTTGGGGGAAAAAAAGGAACTGAAAAATTTACTAGATTAAGATTAGTAGAAGATGCCGGGTAGAGACTTAAATGTGGGACGTCCATTGACCCTGACAAGTTGCTATTTAGAGAGAGAAAAAAACACACAAATGTTCTTCATGGATGGGGGTTGTGGTGATGTAGGCATAGCAAATGGACGAGATGGGACTCAGCAAAGGAAGTCGATGAAGAGATCTCTGGGAAATGAACCTGCACCTGTACCCATAAGGGGAAGGAAAGAAGTGCGTGGGAATTCAGATCCTGACCAGCCAGGTAAGGCTCTAGACTTAGGAAAAAGTTTGGGGAAATAAAGTTCATGTCTGTGTCTCCCCTCCCTGGATCATTTCTAAACAATTCTGCAGCTTTTCATTACTTTAAAAATAACAAAAATTAGGCCCAAAGGTCATCTCTCAGATTGTAGAATGCAATACACACTATAGAAACACAATGGTTGTGGATTTTATTTGATCCAGAGACCCGAGAATTGTAAGGAGGTGGGAACTAACATTTATTGAGTACTGCTATGCACTGGCTAGATAGATACATTCATGCTTGTTCCCTTTAATTCTTTCAAAATCTCTATGGCTGCATATCTGCCATTTGACTTAGAAGGACATTGAGGCTCAAAGAGTTTAAAATTTGCTCAGGACTCATGTGTCTGTCATCTGACTCCAAAGCCTATTACTCCCTATTGAGAGAAATTTTTTGGAAATAGAAATTTAGGAGTTTGATTTGTAAAAGGTAATGACAGATGACTTATGACACTCATTTTTGTCACTTTTTCATTTAGGCTCTAAGAAAGCATTTAAAGCTCCCCAAAGCAAGGTTTCAGTAACCAGCTTGTCTGAAGAAAATGGGGTTAGAATGGTGTCAAAGGGACTAATCCTACCAACTCCTCATGGGGCATGTCCTGCCCTGGGGAAAGAAGAGCCTGGATCTCAGGAGCTGCAGGAGGCTGGGAGCTTCCCTCCTGATGATGAATCCTCCAGTGACTTGGACCTTGAGCAGCTCATGGAGGATGTTGGAGAAAAGCCAGAGCAGAGGGTAGAGCTGCAGTATAGAGATGACATGGAGGAGTTCACCTTCTTTGAGGAGTAGTTCTGTGCTCTTGTGTTCTATCCCCTGTTCCCTGGGAGCAGGAGGGAGGCCTCTCAGAGGGTCCCAGAGAACTGTTGCGATTGGCCATTGACTACAGGATTATTTGGCTAAAGTCAGAGTTGTATGGTTATGTGTTAATAAAATAGGTTACTGCCTTAATTGGTTTGGTTTGTCTCTAACCACATGCTTCATTTTGGCTTCTCCCTCTTCCTCCATGTCAGTGACATCATTGTTTCTGGTGGGAGGCCTGCACAATATAGGAATCTGGGAAGGCAATGACGCCTGAGTCCGGGAGAAAGACATTGTAAAGGGCGGGCAGGTCTGGGTTCAAATCCTGGCTCACTATTTACTAGCTGTGTGGCCTTGGGAAAAGCACTGTAACCATTCTGGTTCTTCATTTCATGTCTCAGATGAGCACATCCAATACCATATAGGGTGGTTCATGTTTAATTGAGGGGGTGCACCACACAATATATGCTAGTTATTATCATAGGGGAAGTAGAACAGTTAGACTGGGGGCAGACCTTGGGTTCTGGGCTGCCTACCAGTATTTGGGGACTTACTGTTTCTAGGCATGAGGCAGTCACTGAACTAGAAGAGGGATCTTGGGCATGAGTATCTATTATACTCATTTTTGGTGAGAAGGACAGAAGTTGAAGCTGACATCAGTTTCTTTCTTAGATGCATTCAGGCAAATCCTACAGATCCTTTTATTTTTGTGGGCAAGGGAGGGAGCTGCAGAAGGAACTGGAGCAGATGGCTGTTTTTCTCAGGTTCTTAGTGGCCTTCAGCTTTGCTGGCCTCTGAGTCACTGTCTGGCTGGGATTATTATGGGAAGTGGTGATTCCCCTATGCAGCTTACTCTAAAGAGGTCATCATTCAGTCACACTCTTTAGGCCTTTAGGATAGAGTATATGGTCTCTTCCTGGGGACTGTTGTGGAGAAGGTGGCTGGGAGGTGCTGACGGTGAGGTCGAGCTAGAGAGGGCAAGGGAGGCATAGAGGATGCCATCAACCTGCATGAGAACAGAAAGAGAAGTGGGTTAGAATTGCAGGGGGAGCTGACCTCATCTTAGAGCAGTCATCCCCAAACCTGAGTGCCCTGGTGATACCACAGTCCCTCTATCCTTTCCACCCAAGTTCTCCAGCTTCCCTTTAATTCTTTAGAGCCGCTTACCTTTGAATCCAGCTTGGAGTCACTATGTTTTCCTAGGAAAAAAATCAGGATGTACCAGGGTCAGATGACATGGCAGCCAGGGTAGAGAAATGGGTAGAGGGCTCAGGAGTGAGGTCATCTGCTAGGTCAAGACCAGGGCCATGGGGTAGGGATGGGGAGGCATGGGAAAGAGGGAAATGCTGAAGGGCACATGGGAGGGAGTGTGTGGGGAAGAAGGAAGGGCCAAGGTGGAGGGTGGGGAGTGATGGTGATAGAATGACATTTATGCTTATTGTTCTCATACTTCTCCTCAGTGTTATGGAAGGATCCCCTGCATGGGAAAGTAAGGGTGTGAAATGTCAGAGGTTGGGCAGAAAAGGGTTAAAACCTGTACCAGGCTGGTTTTCTTGTGCGGGGCGCTGCGACCTGCTTGGGCATATTCAGAAGATGTAGGTAATGGTTTGAGGCTCTTTTTTTTCAGAGCATACCTTTCAATTAATTATTTATTTTATCCTTCCCCAAAGACATTTTTTCCATTTTTCGTTCAGATAGAGTAGAAGGGAGAAAGAGTGGGAGAGAGAGAGAGAGGGAAACATCAATGTGAAAGGGACACATCGAGTGGCTGCCACCCGCATGACCTAACCAGGGTGGGGACAAACTGCAAACAAAGTGCGTTCCCTTAGGGAGAACCGAACCTGGGTCTCTCTGGACAGCAGGCTGACGCTGTAACTGCTGAGCCAAACCGGCCAGGGCAATGGTTTGAGGCTCTTAAATGTAGGCTGCCTGGAAGAGCATTGAGAGGCAATTTGTGGTGTGGCCCAGGAGAGTTTCCCAAGTGCCAACTGAAGGAGGATTGTTCTAGGGAAGCCACTTTTGTAGAAGTGGGCAATGGAGGAGAACTCGGAAGGGTGAGCTCCTGTCTTCTCTGCTGGCACTGCCTTGGTTCAAACTGGACCTGGAAAACCAGTGAAGTTCATCTCACGGCCTCTGGGTGGGTGCTCAGGCCTTGGTCCCCAGGAGGAGACACCATCCTGGGAGGGGACCTGAGGAAGGCAGCTGGCAAATGGAAGGCGAGAAAGGGAAGGGGACTTACGGAAAGGAAAGTGTGGAAATGGGAAGAAGGATGGAGAAAAGGACACTGGTGGGAGGGTGAGGAGGAACAGTGCTCAGGAAAGGAAGAACGGAGATCCTGGCACAAAGGAGGGGAGGCCAGGGTGGGAGCTGAGGGGATAGGTGCTCTGAGAAAAGGCAGATGGTAGAGGTGGTGGAGGCAATGATTCTTGTGGCCACTGTGGGTACCTCACCAGGAGAAAAGGCAGATTGGACAATGGGAAAGAAGAGGAAAACATGTAGAACAGGGAAATGTGTTTGGGAAGGATGATGCTCAAAGTGGAAAGAACACAGGATGAGCAGAAGGAAAAACTGAGAAATGGCTATGAAAGGAGGAGGAAAGGGGATACCAGAGAAAGAGAAAAGGGAGACATGCTGGAAGAGAATTAGAGAAACTGCTGGAACCCCTAGTTCTACTGTTGATTTTTTTTGGCTTTTTAAAAATATGTTTTAATTGATTTTTTTTTTAGAGAGAGAAAGAGAGAGAAACATCAGTCAGTTGCCTCTTGTACTGGGGATGGAACCCACAACCTGGGTATATGTCCTGACTGGAAATCAAACAGGTGACCTTTCAGTGCATGGGACAACACTCAACCATCAGAGCCACATCAGCCGGGGATGGTTTGTTTTCTAGGAGCCGGATCCTCAGGAAGTGAAGGATGTTGATGGGAAAGTGGAGGATGAGAGCAGTCGTGCAAGGCTCCCTCACACTGATCTCAGAAGGTCACTTGCTGTTTCCCAAAACAGTGCCCCCCTTGGAGGACAAGCACTCACCTGTCTGGGGCTCTTCCTTTAGTCTGCAGACCTGTAGAGGAGCCAACAATGTATCAGTGTGCCATCCATGAATAGCATCTCTGCTCCTGCCTTTTCTGCTTCTTCCTACTCTGAGACCATCTTGGATAAACCAGGGCAGCAATGCAGCTCTGCTGAAACCCATGTGGGAAGGGCCTAGGACTCAGAGCCAGCACCCAGCTGGTACCCTGAGCTGGCTGCCCTGAAGCTGCCCACGCCTCTCCTGCTATTGTCCTCAGTATTAAATCAGGAGAGCAGCTCTTCTCCGCACCCTGTGCCCCCTTCTCCCTGCCCTCTCTCTCGCTACATTTCCTTCTGCTTCCTTTCCCTTGCCTTGAACTCCCTGCAATTTCCTGACCTGCTCCTTCCCCTGCTGAGCTCTGGCCCACACTGCCTTTCCCTCCTCCTCTCTTGTCACAGGCACCCTTGTTTCCTCCTGCTCTGACAAACCAGGTTCTTGTGCTTTCCTTCTGAGTGGTGGCTGTTTCTCTCCCCCCTCTGAATTTGTGTTTGCACTGCAGCCTGTTCCTCTCTTCCAGCAAGGGCTCTGTTGTTCCTCCCCAGCGCCCTGCACTATCCTCCCTCCACATCCTTCTCAAGTCTCCACAGCATTTCCCAAGCATTTGGCCCCTGGTTCACTCACATCCTCTCCACCACTGGCCACCCTCCTGGGAGGTCTCATCGTCCACTGGGACAATCCTTTCACACACTGGACCCACCCATCCCCCTCAGCTCCAGCAACCTCCACTCCACTCAGCCATAGCCTGAACTTTATTTTTTAAATCACCTGACTAAGAACTCTGCAATAGTAAATGCTGGTATTATTTTTATGCTGCAGCTCTCTTTCCTCCCAACTCTCTTTTGTCATCACCACACTACACATGTGCTTTGACCTCCCTAAACTCTTTCCCTGTGATAATCCACTTTCTTTAAGGTTGTCTAGGTGGTCTGAGAGTCCTCCACTCTCCCTATGTGCCCTTTCACCAGCTCCTTGACTTCCTGAGTTCCCCTGTCCTGTCACACCAAGCTGATAAATCACCAATTCTGCATGTGTCTGGCTTGGAATGCTACTGGCTTACCCAATATCTATTCACCTTCTCTTACTCAGTTACAGAACCGTGATTTTCTCTGGAGTGACAGTGTGCTCCCTTACAGATAGATGTGGGACCCATGACTAAATTCTGGCCAATAAGATATAAGGGGAGGGTGGGTAGGACTTTCAGGAAAGCTCCTGGGCTATATCACATTTTCTCTTCATCTCTGACCCTTCTCCTTACTGTCAGGAGGACAGACAACTCTGACCCTTATCCTTACTGTCAGGAGGACAGACAACTGGGTCATAGTCTATTTGTCCTTTTATCCTTCCTCTTGTTTCCTGCTTGGATTCAGAAATAATAGCTGGAATCTTAGCAGACACCTTGGACCACGGGGCAACCTTGAAATAAAATCTAGTTGAATGCTGCTGGCGAAACAACAATCGTGTGCAATAATACTTTCACGGATTTATGGCTTTTCACCTGAGTCAAATCCTTAAATACTATCTTCCATTTCTTCAGTGACTATACCACATTTTCTCTTCATCTCTGACCCTCATCCATACTCTTGGGAGAAACCACTGTAGTATTTTCTTTGCAGAATTTTTTTTAAATCTTAATTTCTATTTAGTTGAATTTAACAATATATTTATTCATTGATTTTGGGTTTCATGTCATACTTAGGGAGTTCACCTCCACTCTGTGGTTTCAGCACTATGTATTGAATTAGTCATTTCCCCCATTGATTAGAAACGTTACCTTTTAATTTACTAAATTCCTGCATTTATTTGGTTCTATTTTTATCCTGTCTATATTTTGAGTTTTTCTTTACTTCTATTACTTTATCGGTTATCTGTTCATTTATTATATGCTAGTATTGCATCACTTTAATTATTGTAGCTTAATAATTAT